CTTATTTGCGTTACATTGTCTTTCATCCGTTCTTCTCCCACCTATCCAAATTGTAAATCTTCGATACTAGAATCGAAAAGAAGAAACGTTGTGAAATAGCTGCTACTGTTATTGATTTTTAAAACCCATTAACGTATGACGCACTTATACAAAGAACAACTGTTCTGATGTTAAATATAACGGGTCTATATTGTCACTCACCAATTGGATATTTACATAGGACGCTGTCGTTTTCACTTATGTCACGTAAAAGTCTTGCCTGTCCACCTGTTTCTATATTAGCCATCTGTTTCTACATGTCCACCGTCACTATTTACACTCTTCCGTAATCTGGTATTTTCTTTTTTTTTTTTTTTTTTTCGTGAATTTCAAATCGTGTAATTAGATTCCGTTGCACACTGCACCGATATAAGTAATACTAATCGCGCACGACACGCTGATGATTAGAACGAGTAGAATGATTATTCGCGCTGTTTGTGATATTGAAGTGAGTGACGCTATTATTTATTTTATTCGTACAGTAATTATACGTAAACGGCGAGACTAAAAAGTATTAAAATAAATATGTGAAAAATTGATGAAAATAAATCTGAAGTTTGTGATCACTTCGAGATGCTCTCTCAACACGTTTCTTAAAATGATTCTGATTTTATTCGATTTCTTTTTAAAAGTCTAGGGGGAATATGCTTAATTTCTCGTATATTGAAAAATGCTCTCCCTAAATTTTTTCGGAAACTGAGGATATCGCCGTTATATCTAATATCAGAACAGTCGACGGACGATTAATTCTTTTGAAAAATTGGAAAAGTACACAATACTGTCGCGAATTTTTTCCCATTAGGCATAGTGATTAGATGTTTGTCGGGCTTCTTCATTTTCTCTGCAAGTTACTTTGATCTCATTAAGCTCTCTGCCGAATCCTTCAATTGTGTTGGTTTATGAATGTCGATAACGATCCTGTTCCTTTTATTTTATCAATTGTTTCCATGATTTTATCATGGCATTGTACCTAAGTGAGTTTTATATTTTAGCGAAATAAAAAGTCAAGTAATCATTTAGGGAGGAAGATTGAATAGTAAACAAAGGATACATCTAAGTAATTTGAATATTGCGACGCGTTAAAGAGCATGATAATCGATTTTAATCGAGAACTCAAGAGTTAACCAAGAATTCGACGAATCGTCGAAGCTAATAAGCGAGAGAGAGCTAGTAAATCACTTAACCGATCACTTAATTAGTTATCAAACAGAGTACAGTGTATGAAATTTTAAACAAATATTTTTCACTTTTCACACTCTCTAATGTCACATACCTCGTCTTTTATCGAGCTTAAAAATATATTCGTAACGTCAAACTGTGTGTACATATTGAAAGTGGTCTAGAAAAGCAAATACAGGGCACTGCAAATGTTCTAACGATAAGAAGCCTAATTCGTATCAGTATAAAACTAAGGAGAGATACGAAACCTTATATCGTACGATCCATCTTTTAGCAGTCCACAAAACAGGGGCCGTCAATTTTTGTGGACGTAAAAACTGACTCTACAGCTTGAAAATTAACTAAATTAAGGATATGAAAAATTTCTATCCTGTTTTATATTTTTAATAGTAACTGTGAGGATAAATGAATGTTGGTAATAGGACTAAAATATGCAAAAGAAGGAGGTTTGGAAACATCCAATTAATCGCCAATAAATTGTGTCAATTTTTTACAGTCAGATTGATCCAAATTAGCGAAAATTAATTTTTTATTATAAACATAGCGACGAAGCTAATTTCAACGTTTATGTCTCATCGAGATAATTTAGGAATTCTTCGGTATCGAATTGATTTTATTTCTCGTCGATCTCCGTTATAAAAATAGTAAAACTATAAACAGGAAGTTTCATAACTTCATCTCGGTTTATAAACAATTCTCAAAATTAATATTATATAATATTAGTTACCGTGTAAATCGGTTCGGTGACATTTTAAGGAAAATTCAAATTTTATGCACGGATTGGGCAATGCGAACTTAATTACCAGAATAATCTCCATTATTTTCCGCAATTCTTCGTCGTCTTTCGACCAACTGCCGGATTCCATCGCGAAGAAATGTTGCGGTTTCGATTCGATTCGACCGTTTCAAAGTGCGTTTCGCGTGAAAGATGCTGCAGAGACTGGGATAAGTAAAAATCAGTCGCAGACGTGTCTAAAATCAATCTAGATTAAAAATTGCTCGTCACTCGAGTCAAAGTCTCCTTCGCCAAATTGTTAATACTATTTTTCACACGTTTTCTCCAAGAGCCTAAGAGCTTCGATAGCATTTTCCTTTAGCATAGGTGCAAACAGAAAATGCACCGTCTCATAAACTGCCATAGTGAACACAACGAATTTTTCAGGCTACGTTTGTCATTCGCCTAAGTCGCGAGAAATTACGCAAACACGGATGACATTTCTTTAAAACTGCCATAAAACGGGAAAATATCTGAATTTAAAATGGTTATTAGAAACGGGTAAATCTACAGGCGACGAATTAATTTGCAATAATATTGTCACAGATAAACGAAACCAAAACCTGTTGGGAAATTCAGAATCTTATGCAGTGAACAGCTTTAAAAAAAAAAAAAACGAAGAAATTTCATAAGAACGCTGTCTCTAATCTTATTAGCATTTATTTCCTTCGAAGGAAACATACAGCTGCATAGTTCCTCCTTATTTCAAAAAATATCGAAATTCGTCTTGCGAGCAATTTTTCACAAGACAAGATCAGTTCATTTATACCACTGAAATCGATAATTTTATACACGGTGATTTGTTCAATTTTTTGTGGTAGTTTGAATCTTCTTCTGAGCTTTGTCACCTAATCATTTTATCAGAGAAATCGCTAAATACCTGTATCGGTATATTTTCACTGCCTGTTTATATCAGATGACTTGAAATCCTCGATTTTTTGGATTCTGTTCTATTGCAATTTTAGTTGAAAATTTGAATCTTCTTCCAAGTCTTCAAATTGTCACCCAGTGAATTATTCAATTTCAATTGTAAGTTTGAATCTTCTTCCAAGCTTTCAAATTTACAAACCGCTCGTCGCCTAATCATCTTATCAGAGAAATCTTCAAATACCTATATCACTCTAATAAGCTCGTTAACTATAACATTTCCATCGCCTGTTTATATCAGATGACTTTCAATCCTCGATCTTTAGATCCTATTTCTATTTCAATTTTAGTTCTAAGATCGAATCTTCTTCCAAGCTTTCAAATTTACAAACTACTCATCGCCTAATCATGTCATCTATGTCAATTCTGTAAGCATTGGTGTAATTATTACACTTTCATCGGCTGTTTACATCAGATGACTTGCGATCCTCGATCTTTTTGTCAGATCCTATTCTATTTCTGGCGCTTCTTTCCTTTCGATCTCGTTTCGAATTTGCTCGATTATCACAGAGGCAGAATTGACCACGAGGTCGTCGTTCGACGAAAGTGAGAGGGCTCGGGTAACCCGGAAGGACAAAACGAGTTCTTGGTACTTGTTACAACGGAGGTCCCCGTGAACGCGTAGGCAGAGAACTGTCACTATTTCGCCGATTTACGAGACGCGGCCAGATATCAGCGAACGTTCCTCCTTCATTGACTTTTATTGCCGGTTTTTTAACCTTGACACGAACAATTCAGCGAAACCACTCTCTACGGAACCTTGGAAATTATTCCGGAATAAATAATTATCCCGTTGGCACGATGCTTCTCACTTGGGTTTATTTATTCCCGTACACACGCCTGCCTCGACTGAAATCCGCGAGAAAATCAACGTGGAGGATTCGCGACGATTTTTATGGGATCGTTTAAATGATAATTCCTGCAATATCTATCGAGCTTGAACGGTGTTTCTTTTTGTAGTTGAACGTTCTGATAATTGTAATTAAATTGCGGATCTTTTATTTAAAATTCTATGGAAATTCTTCGTTTCTAATTGTGGAATAATTTTTGCTGCTCAATAACGAACATTACCATTGAAGATCGATTATTTTATAAATATTGCAGTTATCCTTGCGACTTTTAGTTTAAAATTCTATGGAAATTCTTCACTATGGAATATTCACGATAAAAAATTTTGCCAAGATTATTACCCAGCGACAAACATAACCAAGCTAAAATTTTGTCGCTTAAGTATATAAATATTGCAATAATCCTTGGCGACTTTCAACGTAAAATTCTATCGAAATTCGTCGTTTTACACTATGGAATATTCACGATAAAAAATTTTGCCAAGATTATTACGCAATGACAAACACAACTAAGCTAAAATTTTGTTACTTAACTATATCAAAGATCGATTACGTTATTTCCCCACACGTCACCCCATTCACGCAAGTTCAAAACTCTTCGCAACTTCGATAAATTCCGACCATCCTCGTATACAGCCAACCTCCGACACTTTCTATAAATTTTCAAAGGCCAGCTAAATACATAACACGTCTAAAGAAAAAAAAATCGCTCTACCACAGTTTGGTCCAGTTATCGAGGCAGGAAGAAGAAAAAAAGAAAAAGGGAAACAACTCGATCTCGATGTCTGTTTTAATCCTTTCCGAATTGATCTCTTTTCAGACCGGTTCCATGGTGATCTTGCATGAATCCATGCATGATGTAATACCGTTCGAATGAAAAATAAAACTAGTTCGAAAATGGAGTCGACTCGAGCAGAAAAGGCAGCAGAAAGAAAAAAAAAAAAAAAAAGAAAAATAATTCCACACCGAGCGTGTGCGAAATGAAATTTTTCGAGAACCGTCTCGTATAAATCCCAGTCGAACTTTCCAATTGATACATCCCAACGAACAAATCGAAATTCTTCTCCCCCCTGCTAGATATCGATCAATTTCAAACTAAATTAATCCACAAGATACATGAACAAACTAAAAGAAGAAAACATTTTCAAAAATTTGCGATATTTCTGAAATATTCGTAAATTTGCAGTTCGAACCCTTTCACTCTCACTCTCGCTGAAATTTTTTTTACTTACCATGATTCGTCCAGTTTTTCCGGGCAACGCGTAACTCTCCGAACGTAGAAACTAGCACCAAGGAGTGACGTACGGTGTGCAGAAGGATCGGTAAAAACAAGTCGAAGGAGAAGAAGGGCGCTCGCCGCTTTGAGACGCGATTGTCAAATGCGGGGGCAAAACTGAAGTTCCGTCGAGGAGCGGAAGGGGAGGGAAAAAAATGAAGCGTAATCGATACGAGAATCAGTGATCGAGGATCCACCGCCACATGATCGAGGAACTGTCACTGACAACAGTCCAGAAAGCACTGACCGTAGTGAACGAGAGCCTGTCATTCTCTCCCTTCCCCCTCCCCCTCTTTCTCCATCTGTCTCTAGCCAACTCTCTCTCTCTCTCTCTCTCTCTCTCTCTCTCTCTCTTTCTCTTTCTCGGTGTCTTTCTCTTTTTAGAACCTGAGGAACGTAGGAGGAGCTCTCCTCCGTTTCCTCGAGGAACGAGTAGGAGCGAGACTGTTTCAGTATCGTTCACCCTCATTCACCGACCCATCCCCCTTTGCTTTTCGTTCGTTTTTACACGCGCGTCTTTTTGTTTTTTTTTTTTCGCCGGTAAACACAGAAGGAGGCAAAAGTCGCGCGAAAATTCTCGTAACAGCTGGACAGCAGGTATAGGACGATGTCAACATTGTCCTCGGACGCCGCGACGACAATTAAAGTTACCTTTCATTTTGTGTATAGTAAGTGACCAACGTGTGCTGTATGTATATTTCAGGTACTCGGGGAGTATATGCGGGTATGCTACCTTGCACACACGTGGTTCGTTTGAAAAAGTAGGGATTGAATGAAATTGTTAACATTTGTGAATTAAAGTCGCTTATCAACTTTCCTGCTTTCCATCGGTTTCTTTGGCCGTCGGAGGTTTATTTTTCCGTCGGTGCTTTGAACTTTGTGAGTGTTTGTTAGAGATTGGTAACGTTTGTGAGTTAAAGTCAGTTTTGGGCTATCTAGATTTCGATCGTTTTCTCGTCTTGTCTCCGGGTTTTTCATTGGTGATTCATCTTTGTGGATAGGTATTTTTGAATTGCTGTTCTTCTCGCATGACTGGAACTTTAATAATTACTGTCAAATTATGCCGCGAATAATTCACTGTTTTACACGAGAAATTGAAGGAACAGTACTGAGCAACGGTGAATAGACGAGGTGACATTGGAAAAGCTCTATGAAATGAAATAGAAAATTAATTTTGAAAAATTTTCATCTGCTATATTCGTCAGACTCGTTTCATTCTTTCGTATTAAATATTAAATATTAATTTCACTCTTAAATAGATCAAATATTTCCGAGCGAAATTAATTTTTTGAAATCTAGATATCCAAGATTTGGCAAAAATGGGACTAAAAGTGTCGTAATGTGGTAACAAAAATCCTTCGATTCAAATAAGTATATCTACTTTGACTAGAAAAGTTGTATTGCTAATCAAAAGTAAAAGTGGGTTTCCATCGATCACAGGAAACGGAAATTTCATTCGTTACGACCTGATACGACAAAACGTATTTCATGTTGCACTCTGTGGAACGTATTTAAACATATCTGATCACTTTTTCCATCCAGTTACAATTTACATTTCTCAAGTAGTACTTACATTCCACATACAAAAATACACATACACACGTAGCAATAAAATTGACAATATACCATTGTTAAGAGTATATTTTGTGCTACCTTTGTATACCGATTAATTGTTCTGACCACGTTTCATTTATACCAGACGAACTATTCATCGAATATGACCGTTTCTGCAATTTCTCGTTATCATCGGATCCAGATCGAAATTTTACATTATCATCGGATCCAGATCGAAATTTCTCGTTATCGGCGGATTCAGATCGAAACTTCTCGTTATCGGCGGATTCCGATCGAAATTTCTCGTTATCGGCGGATTCAGATCGAAATTTCTCGTTATCATCGGATCCAGATCGAAATTTCTCGTTATCGGCGGATTCCGATCGAAATTTCTCGTTATCATCGGATCCAGATCGAAATTTCTCGTTATCGGCGGGTTCAGATCGAAATTTCTTCTGTTACGAGTGATAACATTTTTCATACCTCAGTTAGGGTACGTGTTCATTTTTCACGACAGTTGCTCTCGAGAGCACTCTCAAATTGTGCGTCCATCTCTCTATCAGCACTCTCGGTGCAAATTTGTCTGTATTCACTGATAAATTTCACTCTCGAGAGCAACTTGCGATAGTTTCACTCTGAAATGAACAAGAACCCTTGCAGTTAAAGCACGCAGTAATAATCGTAGCGCTACCTCTAGCATAGATTGCAACAGCGAAACTCGGATGAATCATTCGGCTGATATAAACCTCAAAATCTCGTCTCGAGTAACAACATTGATATTCCAGGAAAATGTTGCATTATTTTCGAAAAATTGTGATATTAAAAATGATTGTTACGATATCAAGCATAAGTCAGCCTTGGTTGATAGCTGCTTCTCGTTCATGTTGGCAACACATTCATGCTGACAACGAGGCCCAATCGGCTGCTCGATAAATGGGAACGCGAGAGTGAAACGTCGACCCAGCGATCCACATCGGCCGGCTAGAACAGCGTTTCCCAACGTGCGCCAGCCTTTGGTGCACTACTCGATTGAACACTTGGGACGTAACGTATCTATTCCAAGACCTTTCCTTTTCCGATTTCCTTTTTCGAGGAGGAAACAGGTGGCTGTGGTTCGTCTAAAAGTTAGCCTCGATGTTTGAGAAATTCGTTCCTTGAACCTGTTCTTCCTCTTCTTCTTCCTCTGAGGTCGAACGAGGAATCTGTAAATGAATCTGTAGGCATGTAAATAACTAGTGAAATTCGTGAGAAGCACTATTTCATTTTTTTACAAAGTTTGTGGTTAATTTTCCAACTTATGTTAAATTAATTAGTATCTTTGAGTAGTTGTATGAGGTTACTACGGTAGAATTTTTTCAGTGAGGTTTAATGTCATGTATTGACCAAATTTGGGTAACATACGGAGTGGACCGATAATGTTGTTCATTTGAAGTATCTTCGTTTAGGAATGAAAATAATGAGATTTGAGGCTATGAGAGTTTTGAGCCTTTCATGGTTCGGTATGGTACAGTTTGTACTGTTTGAGGCTTTCGAGTGTAAACCGTGTCCAGTAGGATAAGTTTTCCAAAGTTTCGCCAGGATTGCAGATACCTTCATCAGAGGTCTAAGGACGCATTGATGATCTTGCGATAATCGTTATCAGTGCGCCCTCAGACTCTCATTATCTCATTATAATCATTATCAGTGCGTCTTCACACTCTCGTGATAATTATCTCATCATAGTCATTATCAGTGCGTCTTCACGCTCTCATTATGATTATCTCACTACAATCACTATGATAATCATTATCAGTGCGTCTTCGTGATAATTATCTCATTACCATAATCATTATCACTGCATCCTCAGACCTTTGACAAAGCTATCTGCAATACTGGCGAAACGTTGAGAAAATGATCCTACTGGACGCGGTTTACACCTGAAAGCCTCAAACAGTACAAACTGTGTACTATATTTATGTCTTATAAAAAAATAGAAGTGACCCAGAAATCTCCAAAAATCTTTCATCTGCAAAAAAATGATCACTGTCACATTATGCTCCCCATTGTATCCAACTTTTACAGACCAAGTTTTTCTGTATCCATTAAAATTAACGAAAATATTCCAAGGTGAACGGAGTTATTGGTCCACCCTGGACAGGATGTTCAGTTTAAATCGATCCACGCGAATATCTTCCAAAACTGTTAACGACACGAACAGATGTTTCGTACAAGAGTTGAATGCTTTCGAGTAGTTTTTTTTTATACATGTTTGTGTTCCTGCATTAATCAAGATTCCTGCGAGAAAAGTATCGAGCTATTTAAGTATGTCGCTAATTTAAGATCGAATCGGACGTACAATATGATAGATATGGACAGACGAAACATGTTCCGAGTATTTCTAAACGAATTCAAAGAATCAACAAGGTTATACGTGGCTGAAGAACACATTCGAACTTCGAAATCATATTTCTCAACCTTGTAATCTAATAACTTTAGCGATTGGAAATTTTTAGCCAGTGTTTACAAATGATTTTGTAGCTTCGTTAATTTTCACTTGGCGCTAGAGAAAACAGCTATTTTTCTTGAAAACGGTGCAATTCATTTAATTGCATTCACAGTTCGTGCAATTCAAAAAATATTTTGGAAATTAGACTCTTTTTCGTTTTTACTTGGTCCAAGTTTGCAGCACACGTGTGCATTACCTGTACAATTAATGTAACTGGTTAAAAAAAATTCTTAAAAAGTTTCTAAACGTCGACTCCGGTTGTTCTCTTAATTATGCTGTGTACGACGCGGGTGAAATTATACGAACACCTGATTAAAGCGTTGATAACATTTTTTCGCTTGCTCGACCTGTTGAATCCTAATCAATTGTGTCGAAAGCATTTAATTCCGGCCTCTGTTCCAAGTATAATTTCAGGAAGCAGAACTTGGTGTGTTTTAAACTTCGCAGTTTCATTAAAGTAACGTTTAAAGTTGAGAAAAGGTATTGTAAATTGTGACAAACCTTAAAAAATACTTAAAAAAATTGAATCAAATTGTATTGTAATCGTTGATTTTGGATAAAAGAAAATATTAAACTACGTCAAAGTTTGAAACTTTCAATTTTAAATGGCAACTTCAACCTGTAGATTTTTGAAAATTAACCGTGTATTCGAAATTTTATACTGTCTGAAATTATTGTATTTTTCTACCATCACCGAACACGATGTAAATTTATTAAAATTTAATTAGTATGAGGACTGGCATGGAAATGCGTCTCTTGACCCCATTACGTAACCCACTTCTTCATTCTCTTAACACGTTGCACCACGCTGTAAAAAATAGACCGTATAATAATAATAATCGGAGAAATGAAACGTTGCAGCGAATAAAAGTAATTAATTACACTGAAATATTCCATATTTAGTAACGCAAACGTTAATATTGAATTATTCAAAAAATTCGTGCCGATTTTTGAGTAAGTTTGTAAATTTCATACTTAATTACCATTTTCTGGAAATTTGAAAATGTTATTTTACCAGAAAAGTTTGTTTCCGTTTTTCTGTTCTTTAAGATTTTGCAAACTATTCTTCCCGATGAATTATCTTCTCCGTGAAAATTGCATAATTTATTGTTCCCCTTTTGGTATAAAAGGAAAAAGTGAAATGTGGGAAGTGTATTCCCATTTTTTTTTTAAATTTTCGGAATATTATA